TTGTGAGTCGAGCGCCTTATCCACCTGGCCATGCCGGGCTCCTCATTTGAAACGCAATGCAATAAACTCATCTTCAAAGAAGCACCACCATTAACACTTGTTACTGAAGTTTACATTTGTTTTGTTTCTTGGATTTAGAAAATATGAAAGTTTGTTTGTATAAGAAACTATTAAAACAAAGCTTCCCAAAAAAAAAGAGTTTGTAAAATATTATAAAAAATAGCAATAAATATCAAAATACTTGATATGTCATCATCAAACATAGAAGTTCTTCGTTCTCCAGTTTCAATGTCAAAGTTCGTACTGGTTCCTCTTCCTGGACTTGGAAGTGTGTTGATACCTGCTAAACCTTGGATTACATACTTTTGTTTCCTAGAAGGTTTTGACTTAAAGCCAGCTTTCATGGCTGTCCTTATCAGTGTCTTCTTGGCTAAAACCCTAAATGGCAGACTTCAGATTAGTAATGTTAAAAGTCAATATAACGTTAGAAATGAAATAATTATTTGGAACAAACAATTAGCATTCATATCAATATATAAATGACATATCATTTATGGTTTCAATACAAAACCAACTTGTAAAATTACAACTTCTTTAATCTAATTAAACTAGATAATTCACATTTGTAAGGTAAAAAAATTAATTTTATGTGATATGCAATACAGAACATCCACAAGAATAAAAAAAGAAAACGTAAATACTTATTTGATGACGACTTTCTTACTTTAGAGTTGCATTCTTCTCCTTCTGCTTGTGGAGTGGAGTTTGAGGCATACTTAAGTTACTACTGAAAGCAAACAGGTGGTAAACAGTTGGTGGTGCATGTACACGATGTATTAGCTTCCTCAACATTTCAATACTCTCTGATGTCACTTCTTCATCAAATGCTACTTTAATTAGCTATAAAAAAAAATTCAGCATAATCTTGAATTATACCATTATACACTTTTAATATAAAAGCAAGAGAAAATAAAAATATAAAGTTGTAAGTATATTTCAATGTTATAATTTAGTCATTAGAGGGAATTGCTAATCATGAGGATGACACCAAATCAAGAAAGTTCATGATGGTGGAATAATATGGAAAGTTAAAGGAATTTCAAGAAATGAAAGTATAAGTATCAGTAATCAGTGTGTAGAGGTTAAATGTGAATACTGTGAAGTATTTAGTGAGTGGTTCAGTTTAGTATTTGTGATGAGAGTTATCATGTCAAGGAAGCTAATCAATCAATTAGCAAGAAGATTGTATAAAAATGTTTATTTGTAAGTTAGGCATACCATTAGTAGCAGAATTAAGTGGTTCAGTATTTGTGATGAGAGTTATCATGTCAAGGAAGCTAATCAATCAATTAGCAAGAAGATTGTATAAAAACGTTTATTTGTAAGTTAGGCATACCATTAGTAGCAGAATTAAGTGGTTCAGTTCAGTATTTGTGATGAGAATTATCATGTCAAGGAAGCTAATCAATCAATTAGCAAGAAGATTGTATAAAAACGTTTATTTGTAAGTTAGGCATACCATTAGTAGCAGGAACTGAACCACTCAATTTAGTATTTGTGATGAGAGTTATCATGTCAAGGAAGCTAATCAATTAATTCGCAAGAATATTGTATAAAAACGTTTATTTGTAAGTTAGGCATACCATTAGTAGCAGAATTGAGTGGTTCAGTTTAGTATTTGTGATGAGAGTTATCATGTCAAGGAAGCTAATCAATTAATTCGCAAGAATATTGTATAAAACGTTTATTTGTAAGTTAGGCATACCATTAGTAGCAGAAATGAGTGGTTCAGTTCAGTATTTGTGATGAGAGTTATCATGTCAAGGAAGCTAATCAATCAATTCGCAAGAATATTGTATAAAAACGTTTATTTGTAAGTTAGGCATACCATTAGTAGCAGAATTTCTATTCAAACATTGTTAGCAAACTTAGGCCTACAACATGTTATAAAATGAAGGTAGCCTTCAGCAAACATTGAAGAAGAATGTTATCATCACTTAAACTGAACCTGGCATTATTTTTACCAAATAATCCAGAAGAACCCATCCAATGTTTGAATATGTCACACCAATAATAACAATAGTTTTTATTCACCTCAAAGTGTCTTAATGTAATTTATTTTCAAAATATGTAAGGTGATGAGTTTACTAATAAATTCAAAACCCAATGTTTGTCCAATTTAGGATGCCAAAGAGCATAATTTTGAAGAACAATGGGAAAATTATACTATAAAATACCACATAAAAATGAAACTTAAGCCATATAAATAATATATTATTAAAAGTTACAAAATTCACTAATTACAATTTGTGACTAATTGCTATGGACAAATCTTAGAATTGCAAATTCTGTAAATATGTTTAGTATTTAAATAACTCAAAAATATCTTTCATTTTAGTTTTAATTAAATATAAAGAAATTCAATAATTATTAAACAAAAAGTGTGCTTAAATTATCCCATCACAACATGTTCAGGAATTCAACTTCTAAATTTCTCTATTAAAATAAAACTCCATCTGTCTACTGCTATATGTTTTCAATGATTCCTCAAGACTATACAATACTGAGAGAATATTACATTGGAATTACAAATTCTCATTACTTAAATTTATAAATGCTATTAACAAAACCAAACAACAAAAAGGTTATTTTGTTTTTATTTGATATTCTCAATCTACTTGTGAATCTACAAGTAGCTTGTGATAACTATTTTCCATAAAATATATTTGATAGCTCAAAACAAGAAGACTGAAATACCTCAAAACAAATGTGGTAAAATGTAATTTTATATATTGCTAACTAAAATGTATGCACCAAAATTATTTGTAACAAGCTGAGGTACCCGTCCTTTGTCTGGATTATGAACTTAAAACAAATGTGGGAGTGGATACCATGATAAATAACACAAAAATTCTAACTTTCACACAGTTTATTTATAGCATAACATATTCATTATTATTTAACCAAAAATTCTGTATAAGCTTTAAGAACTCAATATGTGTATATTTAAAACATGGTATATGCTGTACAATGGCCAGGGTGACTTTGTATAAAGAGGTAGTGGCCAAAGTAATGGCAGTAGGGATGCTTTCTGTTACTCTCTTTCAACACCCAGCTCTTAATGTCCTCCCCAGTGTTTCACAAGATTAATCAATTGAGGGTCATTGGCCACAGAAGTATCTTATGGGCCTGAATTTGAAAGATCACAGATAAAAGTAGAAAGTGGACATAAAGAACCAGCTCTTTATATCAGCCTTATGGTAGCTGTTGGAGTAGAAACTTCAGCTGAGTATATATAATATTGCAATAGCAGCAGCCATTTTTTTTAATTGCATTCCTCCATAGAGAGTGCTAGTGCATTCTCTGAAATATATAAAACATATATATATATATATATAAAATTGAAGAACTATGATCCTAAAATTCATGGTAGATTTAACTCAAAACTTTGGCCAACAAATAGAAAAAGATAGACCAACTAACAGCTATGGTTTACATGACCTTTTAAGTGTATTAGTTTGTACCAATGTCAGCATTATGAGGTAACAATGTTTATTATTTATTTTTCATGAAAGATTGATCTTATAGCCTAAACAAACTTATTTCTATCTGTTTGTTTCCTCACTATCTTCTTATTGGTCAAATTAGTTTATTTTAATTATATATTTCATTCATTTAAATTTTTCTTTAAAGGTATAGTTATTGTGATATTTTATATAATTACTAAAAACTGCATACTGTTAAAGTAGTTAATATTAGTAGAACCAACTGAAATATCCTCAAATAGACATGACCAAATGTACAACATCCAAATTCTTTACATTCCAAAATGTTCAGCTTAAAACTGCCTAATTTTCTTTCAGAACATAAGAGGATAATGCTACCTGTCACAAAAATAGTTCCAACTTTCAAAGGGAAATGAAGAAGTGAACTAAAGACATACTCATACCTGGAATGTATTAGAACGAAGCTGTAAACCTTCTTGAAGAATCTGGTCCACATGAGCAAGACACTGAACATTTACCCTTTTCTCTTTGGTCAAAGTAGCCACCGGGAAACAACGAACAACTACTTGTTCAGATGCTGTAAGAAAAGGGCAAGTATTTGTTTTTAAGGTTGTTAGACTTTCATAAAACCTTTTACATGTGAACTCAAGAAAAAAAACAACTGACTTAATAGTAATTATTAAAAGTTTTTGATTCCCATCTAAATATAAATTTGATGCACAAAAGATAAGAGTAATAAATTAGTTTCACATTCACATCTTGAAGTCTCCGAGTTATAGTTAGAGGTTTAAAAGCTAGAAAACAGAAATAAACTATCAAAAGACTTGAAATTGGAGAAACTAGTTTTGACAGATTCATAGATCTTCTTCAGTCTCATTTTTTTTCTTTGCACAAATATGTTGAAACTAGTTTCTCTAATTTAAAGTTAGTTTCTTCTGTTTACTTTGGTTTTTTCACTAGCTTTTTATCTGTTATACATAATACATTATTTAATAACTATGTTCTTACGTTACATTAGTGTCTAAATTTTTCAATACATTTCCCACAATAAGTACTAAAAACTTTCTAGATATTAAATGAAAACTGGTACTTATTTACTTTATCAAGGAAAACTAATTTTTAGAATTATTGACAAAAGAATTACAAACCTTAAGCATAGCTTTGCTTATACTTTTGTTTTAGACAATTACTTAAGTTGTTTCACAGAGATTATGTTTGGTCTCTGTTACTTGTTTTTACAGTTATTCTATACATCATGAGAACTGCTTTGCTGAGAATGAACTTGCTTGTTGCACTGGGACACCAAATATTGTGATTTCCTAAGATTGTTTACTATTTACACAGCTAGTTGTGTTATTTTTTATATCCTGAGAATGTTTGAAACTTTTTGTCATTGTTTTGAAAATAACTTACTATTTGATTATTCTAAAGTCCTGGCACTTGTAACAAACTTTAACGTACAATTTATTGACTTAGCTAACTGTATTTGGCAGCTTAGTGTGACTAGTTTGTCTAATGGATGTCTAAAATTTTTAGCTCTGATATATTCTTAAGTAAAATATGATATTTTTAAAATTTAGTTGTCCTAATTTTTGATAATTTAAATCACTTTTTGAAAACAACTTTATTTCCAATAACATTTTGATTTTAGTTTTTCAGTGCTCAAGATGGCATAAACGAACAAGAATGGGGGTTTAGTTACATTGTAATTATTATCAAAAATATTCATGATGTTTTAATTATTTAGGTATTTTACTTTTAAAACAAATAGAACTGATATATATCAACATGACAATTAATGGATATTAACAATTACTGATTGTAGTTACGAATCACTCAACTGACAAAATCCCAACTTTTTGTTTACATGAAACTGTAGTAAATACACAAAAATGACACAAAGAGTAAGTTATGTATGGGTCAGCAAAATATATACAACTCAGATTGTTTTTTATTAAGTTGTTAAACAGAGCTATAGGTTTGTAACTCTGGTTTTAAATTAAAATTTAAGACATATAATCAAATTAAGTTACCCAAATAAAACCTGTTACAATAACATGGGGGTTAAGGTTTCTTTGTGGAATTTCTTGCAAAGTTCACTCAAGTACTATCTGCACTAGCCATCCCTAATTTTGAACTGATGAACTAGAGGGAAGGCTAGCTTCAACAGGGTCCATCACTAACTGTTGGACTGTTATAATTAAATAGTGTGATTTAACCATCACTCTTACAATGTACCCACAGCATCAAAATGCAGAGTATAATTTTGTGGCAATGGGATGGGAACCAAGGGCCCTCAAATTCACAGTCCAGTATGTTAACCACAAGGCTATGCCACCCAGCCTCAGAGGTAAGGAGTAATAATGTAAAGTTTAACTGATAAACAATTAGCTTTAGTTTTCTCATTTTGATAACTTCCAAGAGCAAATGACTTGTTACAAAACCAGTATTAACTATAACACATTTTCAAAATATAACATAACAAAAACAAAAATAACTGGAACACACTATTAAGACCTTGCAGGTCACAAAAACATTCTTAATTACTGGTAGTTTAATATATTTTTTTATTGCCTAGATATGAATGTTGTGTTAACGCTGCCATTACCTTCATGGTTAAGGATTTTGAGAAGTATTTCTAATTATTTGTAAGTATGAAGAAGATTTTTGTGTAGTTTATAAAACAACAAAAATAATTTTACTATACTCAAGAATGCAGCAATAATAAAACTGTTAATAATCTTTTCTAGTATAATTTCTAAAACAATGGATATATATATATATATATATATATATATATATATATATGTGTGTGTGTGTGTGTGTGTGTGTGTGTGTGTGTGTGTATATGTACTATACTCAAGCACGTAACAATGATAAACTGAATTATATTTTTTTAGCTTCATCACATAAAGTTAATATATAATTTTGACATGCATGAAAGTCTAAAAAACAAAAAGCTTTATTTTACATCTATGAATTTCAAGATCTTATATCCTTCTCATTCAAACCCTTTCTGGGCCAACAGTGACACTGTGTCACCCGTTTCTTTTGTTTTCACACTTAAAATGTTTAATCTAATTGCACGGAATTCCATACACATTTTCTTTATAATATGCAGTTTACACTTTAAAAAATATTTGGTTTAGTATTTGAATAATATTTTATGTTGTGATATTTCAGAAATTTTGTTGCAAAACAGTTTAAAAAATACTTCCTTTCATTTTAGTTTTTTTTTTTACTGTATGCTTAAAATCATGTAAGTGTATCCAATAGCTTTATTTTCAATAAAACTATAATTGTTGTGACATACTTATTTTCTTGTATTCATGCAAGTTCTTGCACACAAATAAAGTGAGTATTAAACAAATGAAATAGAAAAACCTGTATTTTTTACATTATTGATAAGAAATTTTAATTTTTATATATTATATCAGGTTTAACTTGTTTTACTTTGCTCAACTATTTACAATTATTATTTATCTTGCCCTATTGAAGCAATCATGTAGTTGCACATATAGCACAAACCAATGATGAATGTTAAAATATTCCATATTCCAGTACTACACTGATAGAGGCGATATTTTTCCAACTACATTTTTGTCCACTTCATCTTCTCTCTCTAATGATTAGATTTTGTTCTCAATAACTAAGAATTCTTGTATTTGTATGTTTTGTTTGAGTTATAATAAATTTACTACTATACACAAATAAAAACGTTTTTCTACCATCAGAATGGTTTGGCTCTTCTCTTACCATGATCATTAACTCTAAATACCTTTACCTTACATCTTCTCATATAAAAATATTCTTTTAATTTTTAAAAAAAACAGAACACAAAAGAATTCTAGGTTTGTGTCATTTTCTTAAGTTTTGAAATTTCACAGTAGAATTCATTGTTCTCCACCAAGAGAACTACCATTAAGCATTTTCTCATATATCATACATTACTGCTTACCTAACTGTTATTTACTTTACACTAATGTAGACAAACAATAATATTTACTACTTGATTATTTTTAACCATTGGATCTATCTTGTTTTTGAGGCTAAGGTTTATCAGTTACTGTTTAACTCACTTGCTGTGACATCATAAAACCTTCTCTAAAACACAAAACCTTTGATAAGCCTGTTTCTAAGGAATGTCAGGATATATGTAAATATAAAAAAAAACTTATACTTTTGGATGGGTATAAGAATTCTAAAACAATGTGTAAAGTTTTCTTTACTGGCAATACTCACTGGAACTTCAGAGAGGTCAAAGTTCAAATTTGTAAACTTTTTCTTTGCAAATTGCACTAAATAAATTTTGAATAGTTACAAAATATCAATTCTTGGTTATTTTTATGCAAAATAATTGTTGAAATATACAATAGAATTACGATTTCTTCTTAAATTGTGAAATTTCTTATTCAATGTGCATTCTGTGCCCCTGTCCCCAGAGAGCTTCTCACTAGCCCTAATAGGATTAAACAATTAGGAGAATAAGCTTCAAAAATGCAACATCCAGTCATTATACCTGATCTGTTTTATTTCAATTTGTAAAATGTATTTTTGACAAATTTAAGGTCAAAAATTTATTTACTGTGAATGATTCTCGACTGACAAGAACATTTTGATTATTAACCTACCAAAAGGATCACATGGAGTTCCTTTGAAAATTATACGATAATTTGTAAGGAAAACTGCTCCTTCGGAAGGCAGTAAAGATGGTCCACCCATTATACCACCTGTTCCATCCTCTCGTCCATCAGGAATAAGGTACACCCGAAGTCCTTCCATAACAAGCTCTTCTCCTTGTAGAAGACTTGGAAAAAGTATCTTGGGCTATCAAAAAGAAATTATGAAAATGTCATGTTGAAGAGAAAGACAATTCTTTGTAATGTTACAAAATGCTCTATATGTTACCAGCTTCATATTTGTTCAATGTCTAATACAAATTATAATGAAAATTAAAGATGGAAATACAAAAAATACCAGCACCAGGTAATTCCATCAGCAAATTTGGAACCTTTAGATAGAAGATCATATTTTTATTTTTATTATTATTACTTCATCTAAACTATAGTTCTCAACTGGTCAAAATAAGAACTTTATTCCTAACTACGTAAATAAAGTAAATAAATTCAAAAGCTTAATCCAAATTAAAAGAATGACAGCCTTTTATAGTCTTTCCTTCATAATGATATAATTTAGTGCACATCAATACGAGAATAGACAAACATTACCACAAGGTTTAAAAAAACAACAAAGAATTGTGAATTCATTACATAGTTAGAGGGATCAAAGAGAATAAAGATACTTCTAGAACTTATACAAATAAAAAAACTGAGATTTTCCTCTTTTTTTTTAATTTCATTTTGGAAGAATTTCAAAAAATCCTAATTTTTAACTTAAATATTAATACTTAATTTCACAGAAAGTAGACCCTTTTTGTCAAATTACAATTCAGTCATTTTGCTCTCAAACTAAAATTTTAGCTTACATGTCAATTTGTTATATAGCAATGATTTCATTTAGCTTATAAGTTGCTATTCAGTTCTTATCTATATAGTCATCTTACTTTTTGATCACAAGTTCTTAATAATAATGAAAAACTTTCCCTTATGTTACTGAAGTTCAATAACCTACCAAAACTCTAGCAAGTTTTTATTTGTGCTAACATGCTTTTAGCTTTATACTGACCTTCATTATAGGAGGCAATCGTTTACTTTCTCTGTAAACAGCTTCAAGGGTTTCTATCTGCATTGCAACAACACCTGTTTGGAATAAGAATAAAATATAAAGTATGTTTTTTGTGTTCAGTTAGAATTAGAATCAAAAGCTTATTTATTCAAACATTAGGAATGTTCAAACAGCCAATTATATCTTAATCAGTATCATTAAGTTTTGACAGAGTCACAAAAATGCAGGAAACCTACTGTTTCACAGGGTGTGAAGGCTATTCAATACAAGAATAACATAAGTGCATAATACTTTTATGTTTGCTCAAACTTTTTGATGGAATAAGATAACACATGATGTATTTGTACACAAGTAAAATAGAATAAGATATGGGCGTGAAGTATCAAGATAAGACATAATATGGTTGTACAAAAATATGTATTTTTTCTTTCAGCAATGCTTTTTAATTCTGTAGCATTTTTTGATAGAGATAGAGTAAACATGTTTTTCTTTTTTTTTCATATTTATATATTTATTTAAAAGTAATGGAGCCTATTTATAACAAGAAACATACTGTAGATGTCACACACTATTATTTTTAAAAAAACATATAGTATAGACTGTCACTCATTTCATATAACACATAAAATCATGCACATAAATGACCAGGTGCACAACCAATACAACCATCAGTGGTAAAGAATCCAGTTTTACATTACTTTAATATTCCACTTAGTTTTTATTTTCACAATAATAACATGTTTATGGCAATATATCAAATACAATTATGCTTTAATTTCATTACCACAGTACACACATAGTGGCATTTTTTTATCAAGAAACCAAATTAATAAGAGTGTGATATTGATTGTTTTGGTACATTTCCATTGCTTACTACCTTGAGACTGGTGAGTTTGGTGACATTTCAGTAATTTGTTGTTTGTATTCATTAAGTCTGGTTTGTGAGTGCATGTGTGTCTTCATGTTGTTTAATATTAATAGATGAAAAGTGGATTGGATTGCATGCTGGATATAATCTGATTGGTTACTGAGTGTGGTCCTTTCAGGGTACTTGGTTGAGGAACACTGTCCTTTGCAAAAGCTACCATGTTGATGAAGCAATAAAGTCCATGCTATATTTATATCTAGTCCTTGATCATTGTAGATGGCTATTTCTGGTTTTTATAAATAATGATTCTTACATATTTATTAAGTGCAATTATTTTTTACATGGATCTTACATGTAATGATTCTCATGTGTAACGATCCTTAACTGACTCTTGTGTGTAATGATTCATACAAAATTTGCATGTGTAAATATTCTTACATTATTCTCATGTGCAATGAATCTTAAATGGCTCTTGCGTGTAATGAATCTTCATTAGTTATTATGTGTAATGAATCTTAAATGGCTCTTGCGTGTATTGAATCTTCATTAGTTATTATGTGTAATGATTCTTACATGATTCTTAGGTGAAGTGATTCACTACATGTAAGAACCAAGAATCCAGCCACCAACGACGATCAAGGACTAGATATCAATAGACTATGGATTTTATTGCTTCATCAACCCAGTAGTAGGGACTATATTCAACAACCAAGCCCACTGAAAGGACAGCACTCAGCAGCCAATTACATTACATCCAAACCACCTCACATCAATAAATACTAAGCAGCATGAAAACACCAGATCTGATGAATACAAACAAGACTGTCAAAACGTCACCAAGCTCATCAATCTCAAAGCAGCAAATCTGTGGAAAGATACTAGCAGTACGATAACTTGGTATTAGCTGAAGCTTTGTTAAACAGCATGTTCCTTTTGTTTTTTATTACAAATACAGTACAACATCATCATTGTACAACACTACACTCACCTGCTAACAGTCTCATGGTCATTTACTTTAAATGATACATCTTTTTTGATTGATCAAAGCAAAGATAAATTAAACAAAACCATAAAAATTGAGTAAAACGTGTTTGAATAGGACTGCTACAAGCTTGATCTTGCATTTTCCGATCAGTTTGTATGAGCTGTTACAATGTTTTATTGGAGTTTGTTCGCATCTTTAATGCCAGAGGAATCTATTCTGTATACTTTTTACTAATTCCCTAGTAAATTATTAATCAATAAGATGATACAGTTTCTTTCTGTGTGTATTATCTTTTCACTACATGTAATGTTAAAGCATTAGCTTATGAAATTATGGTAATGCCGCTGTGATGTTTAGAGACAATAGCTAAAAATAATTTTCCTAAAGTGTTCCAACCAAACTAAAAATTTGTGAACTCAAATTTTTACACACAAGTTATGGAATTTTTGTAACTTCAGTGTTTTTTTATTTCTTATATATATATGTTATTTACTGCAAAACATCACATTTCTGATTTAATTATTAAAGTATGGGCAACCTGAAAACTTATCTAAAAATATGTTCTAAAATACATTATAATATTGTCATACTTAATAAGGTGGCATTGTTTTAGTACCTCAGATAAACTTGATGTGAAAAGCTTTTATTAAAAGCTAGATGTACAGTCTTTTAGTTATATTTGTATAGTCATTAAGCATTACAGTTATAAGTTTAAATGCAAATAGCTCAATCATTAGTTAAGTAAGACTGGATCACCATTTTGTGAGCCTTCATAAAAGTTTTTGTGTTGGAAATGATTCTAAAATTTATTGAAGGAGAGCCTAGAAAGTAAATAAGTTGTGAAGATGCCTCTTTAAACATTACAGAGTTTTGTTATGATTAAAATGTGATATTAATTATCTCAATTTTCCAAACACAAAGGGTAACAACATATCACACACATATCTATGATTTCTCAACTTATAAAAGTAAAAAAACAGCTTTTCCTTGTTATTCTTTTGGTTTGGATTTTTTTTAAATATTTTTTTACCTTACTTCTGGGTCTGTTAAAGATCAAGGGTAATTTTTGGTCATTTTTTATTAATTCTTCAAGGACTACCTTTTTCTAGTCTACCAGAGACAGACAGCATGGATGCAGAAAGTGGATTTGAGGAAGATACGTCTGAAGTGGGAGCAAATGTTATTAAGTTTGTTTCAAGGTTTGTTGACAAAGTATGCACAGAAAGTGGTGTTACAGAAGAACATATCAAGTCATTGCATCAGATGATACCAGGTTGGACAGTCTGTGTAAAGTGTGATTTCTCAACTGATAAAAGTAAAAAAACAGCTTTTCCTTGTTATTCTTTTGGTTTGGATTTTTTTAAAATATTTTTTGTACCTTACTTCTGGGTCTGTTAAAGGCTATCTAGAAAACATATATATCAGTATGTTTTGTGGATTGTATTTTGCTCTAGCTTTGCTCAATCTTCGATTTGAGAACATCAGCAAGGTCCAAAACTAATTATTTAGTTTAAAAAACTTTGTTTACAAAAGTATTTATTCTTCTATTAAAAAAAACAAACTCTTTCCACATTTAAGTGTTTCAAATAAGCTATTTGATAGCATGCTTCCAAATATTCATATTGCAGAAAGTGCTTTCCTTATTCATAGAAATGTCATCAAAATACTCAAATTAAAAACTTTCTTCAGAGTCAGATAAAAACAAAGACAACTTTATCTTCACATAATTTTTAAGTAGCATTAAATTATGTATTGTTTGAAACCACTATCAT